TTAAGAGGGATCATGCGGAACAGATAGATCCATTTTGGGACAATGTAAGCCTTAATCGTATTGATTCTGCCCCACCACGATATTTCATGGGTCCTCCATTCCTTTGGTAACTTATTTGTTTCTTTTAATTGATTTAGGAAATGAATTTCCATTAAGCGGGCAACATCAGATGTCAATAAAATACTTAAATATGGAATCTGTGTAATTGACCAGTTAAATGAATAATTTTGTTTTAGCATTTTTAGCCGTATATTTCCTATATTTGTTGTTAATGCCAATGTTTTCTTGATATTCATTTTAAAGTTGGAAACCTCACCATAAAATATTATCTCCTGCATTAATAGTGATAACGATTGTTCAGGCTCTGTAATAGTCAGTATAACATCATCTGCGTATAAGCAGATCTTAAGTTCTTCATTTGGGATAGAAATCCCTTTTATACCTATACTTTGTCCAGGGCCGGCGCGTCCATAAGGCGGCACAGGCGGCCGCCTTAGGGCGCACCGGCTCTGGGGGCGCAAAATTACAGTGACCGGCAGGAGGGAAGTGTTCCCTCCTGCAAGGTCACCTTCTGGATCCCCGGCACGGCGTGCGGCTGAATTGGATTTCGAGGTGGCGAGGGAGCTCTGATCTCTCTGATCTGCTCCCTCGCAGGCTGTTTACTGATGCCGCGGGAGCCGGAATATGACGTCATCAGTAAACAGCCTGCGAGAGAGCAGATCAGAGAGATCAGAGCTCCCTCGGCATCCAATTCAGCCGCACGCCTCCCAGCAGCCCCACTGGACCACCAATGAGAGACCCACGCCAGCTCTCCAGGTAGGGAGGCTGGGTGGGAAATTTAAATTTAATTTAGATTATTAATTACTGTGTGTGTGTGTGTGTTTGCATGTGAGTATGTGTGTCTGTGAGTTTGTGTGGTTCTGTCAGTGTATGTGTGTGAGTGAGTGAGTGTGTCTGTCAGTGTGTGTGTGAGTATGTGTGTCTGTCAGTGTGTGTGTGAGTATGTGTGTCTGTCAGTGTGTGAGTGAGTGTGTCTGTCAGTGTGTGTGAGTGAGTGTGTCTGTCAGTGTGTGTGAGTGAGTGTGTCTGTCAGTGTGTGTGTGAGTATGTGTGTCTGTCAGTGTGTGTGAGTGTGTCTGTCAGTATGTGCGTGTGTGCATGTGAGTACGTGTGTCTGTCAGTGTCTGTGAGTGTGTGTGTGTGTGTCAGTGTGTGTTTTCAATGAGTCTGTCAGTGTGCGTGTGAGTGTCTGTCAATGAATGAGTGTGTCAGATAAGTGAGTCTGGCTGTCAGAGATGTCTGTGTGTTTGTCATTGAGTGTGTGTGACTGTCAGTGTTTATACACCCCTGACTGTAGCGTGGCCAAGCGGAGTGTACCGTGGTACAGGAACTTCTGTTTCCTGTACCTGGCAGGACTGACAGGAAAAGCTCACTGTACCGGGATTCGCTCCGCTCAGCCACACTACAAGAAAGGTAGGAGGCACACCAGGAAGGGGAGGGGACCACTATGGGGGTGGGTGGCGCACCAAGGGACAGGGAGAGGAGGGGAGAGATACCCTAAGGTACAGGAAAAGGAGGGAGGGGGGGAGAGGAACACTAAGCGACAGGGAACAGAGGGGGGAGGGGAGAGGAACACTAAGGGACAGGGAAAGGAGGGGGGAAGGGAAAGGAACACTGAGGAACAGGGAAAGGAGGAGAGAGGGGAGAGGAACAGTAAGGGTCAGAGAATGGAGGGGACCATTAAGGGACAGGGAGAGGGGCTGGATGTGAAAGAAACATATAGCGGGGCTTGAGAAGGAAAGAGACACACACAAAGAAGCTGGGAAGAATAAAAGAGACAAAGGGGCTGGGAGAAAAGGAGTCACACAAAGGGGCTGGGAGGAGTAAGACACAAAATGTGGGAGGATGTAAGAGTCATACAAAGAGGAGAGATAGGAGACACACAAAGGCAAAAATAGGAGATAAAATACACTAAAGGGAGTCAGATATTTAAAAGACGGGATAAGAAACACAAAAGGGAGGTTAAGAGGCACATGGGTGAAGATGTTTTTGGGGGGGCGGAAAAATGCATCTTCGCCTACGTACCCAAAATTCTTTGCACCGGCCCTGACTTTGTCTTATTTTACATGCCAGAGGTTCCACTGACATAACATATAAAAGCGGTGAGAGTGGACAGCCCTGTCTCGTGCCATTAAGAATATTAAACCATTCAGATCTTAAATCTCTACTCACTATTCTGGCTGATGGCACCGAGTACAGGGCCTCCACTGCCCCCGTAAACCAACCTTCAAATCCCATTTTTAACATAGTCTGTTTTAAAAAGTCCCAGCTGACCCTGTCGAAAGCCTTTTCGGCGTCAATCGACAGGGTCAGCAGGGGCACCTTTGTTGACTGAGCCCAGTCCATTATTTATATCATTCTTCTAGAATTATTGTTATTGGAAAAAGAAAAATAATAGGCGCTCACTATAGTGGTCAGGCAGCAGTATACAGACAAGGATTCCCCAACCCTGTAAGTGAGTGATAGAGAAAAACAGAAAAAAGAGCGTATACCGCGCCTAGTAGTTTATATATGTGAAAAATACATACATGTATCTTCTTCAGAAGAAGCCTACCAGGCGAAACGCGTTAAGTGGGACTATATTTTATATATTTTATTCCTTATTCTGTTTGTTTATATTAAAGTATACTTTTAAAGTTACCTTTTATATTTACTATTTTTTATTTCCTGGATCCTGTATATCCTTGGTGGGGATTATACCACCCAAGCTGTTTATACCAGAGCAGGCCATATGCTCTAGAAAGTGTAAGTACAATACTATTTACTATCCATTATATTATTGGTACTTACTTCACCGTATTGCTGCTATTTTTCTTTTATACCAACTACGCTCATTGCACATTGGAAATATTCGTGGCAACTTCTACAAATCCAAAGACGGGGATTGTACCGTCCAGGCGCTTTACAGCAGAGCTCTGTTATAGCTCATCCAAATGTGAGTGGACTGTACATAGCCATTAATCACCTATCTTTAAGATAAAATTTACTGTATTGCACTATTATTTTTTATCTTAATTCTTTTCCGAGGTTACGATTATTTGGAATATTCAAGGATACATGTATGTATTTTTCACATATATAAACTACTAGGCGCGGTATACGCTCTTTTTTCAGTTTTTAGTATTATTGTTAGATTGTCTTCCTGCCACGAAGCCTATCTGATCCTTATGTATAATATCTGGCAGTACTACTTGAAGTCTATCTGCTAAAATAGCGGAGTATAATTTAACATCCGCATTTATTAATGATATTGGGCGATAATTCGATAATTCTGTGGGGGATTTACCTTTTCATATCTCTCCCCATGCCAAGTCCCTTCCATATCTCACCATGCCACAACGTTCCATATCTATTCCAATGCTACCCCTTTCCATATATCTCCTCATGCCACCCCTTCAATATATCTCCCAATGCCACCCCCTTCAATATATCTACCAATGCCACCCGCTTCAATATATCTCCTCATGCCACCCCTTCAATATATCTCCTCATGCCACCCCTTCAATATATCTCCCAATGCCACCCCTTCAATACGGTCTGTTTAAAGGACCACTCTAGGCACCCAGACCACTTCAACTTAATGAAGTGGTCTGGGTGCCAGGTCCTTCTAGGGTTAACCCATTTTTTCATAATTATAGCAGTTTCAGAGAAACTGCTATAATTATGAATGGGTTAAGTTTTCAGTGTGGTTGCCCTGCATTACAGTTACTCAGAGGCGCTTACGCGTTTTCTCACTGTGATTTTCATTGTGCGAGAGTAATGCTTAAAGCGTGTGCTCTTACAGTGAAAGCAATGTAAATGTGCCTTGAGTGAGAGGCTCTGGTATTTTCGAATGCGCTGCCAAGTAGTTTGCCAGCAAGTATCTGGAATGGGGTGGGCGAACGGAGGCTTATAGAGGAGGAGGAGAGCTCTCCGCCCAGCGCTGGAAAAAGGTAAGTTTTTACCCCTTTCCCCCTTCCAGAGCCGGGCAGGAGGGGGACCCCGAGGGTGGGGGCACCCTCAGGGCACTATAGTGCCAGGAAAACGAGTATGTTTTCCTGGCACTATAGTGGTCCTTTAACTGTAATTTACCTGATTAATATTAAATGCACCCATAGTTATTATATATCACTTTGTTCAAGAGAAATAGGGCTTTGATTTCACATCAAATATTTATAAATAAAACATCATTTAATGTGAATAATATATAAAAGAAAGTGTGGGAAATTAAAAAATGTTATTTTCTTAGTTCTATGTGGCATTTTAACTATTATACTGTTAGCTTGTACTTATATTGCCACCCTTCTTTTTCTAAGTTACAGGCAAAGAAAAGCAGTGTAATTACAATTTAGCATATCACGCTATATCCACAGTAATTAGCAACATATTATTGGTTGAAGTTGCTCCCTTCACATGTTCTTCACTTCCCTCAAATATATACACATTGCGTTTGTCCATAGGAGAAAAAATTGGCTCGGCATAATAAATACGTACCAAATAAATAAGTAAATAATCCAGGTAGTCCAAAGTTCATCCATAGGGTGATTCCGAGTTCCAAACGTGGTGCCAAAATAGAAGATTATAGATTTTATTCACAGTTCAAGTAACAAGAAGTAACCAAAAGAAGGGGGAAAATGGATGTGCAGTAAATAAAATAGATATTTACATTTTATATGCTTATTTATATAATATAATATTTAATTTTTCCCCTCTGTTTGTCACTTCTCACTTGATTTGTGAATAAACTCAACATTTAGTGGCGGACCCATATGCATCAATCATTTCTTTTCCCATCATCAACTCTTTTTTTGGTGCCAAAGACAGATCTCCAAATCACAAAACAAATGAACATGCTTGTCCAGAGATAGGGAATTTGGATCACTCACCAATTACTTAAACCAGTTCACTTGAAACCAAATGTACAAGTCTAATGTTTATATAGCTAGCCATTCACTAGCCATTCAGCTAGACCACACACACACACACACACACACACACACACACACACACACACACTTGTAGAAATTTAGGCCAAATTAGTTGAATTATATAATTTATCCATGTCAAATTTGCTTTCAGTTGAGCTATTTTTTAAATTCACTTCAACTTTAGATCACATTGCTGGCAGTTCTCACTTTAGTGAATAACTTCTGGTGTCTCTGTGCTTTGGACACTTTCATCACCTTTATTCTTGTTTCTCTTTGGTCCTGGTGCTTTCCTTCTTCTTATTCCCCGGATCCAAAGCCTTCCAAACCACTCTATGGTCTTTGTTTATGGGGTTTTCAAAATAAAACTGATGCAAATCATTAATTTTTTCACAACAGAATCTTACAATCTTATATTAATATTATTTTTGACCTTTACAGTGTGTGTCCAAGAGGATTCACTTGTTGGCCTCAAAAGGAGACTAAATGAATGCTAATATGACACTGAGGAATTAAACCTATCAGACGATCCGTACACTGCACTGTGCAAGCCTTTCATTGTTTGGAGACTGTGCTGTAATTATATGATAGTATCACCACACATGATTCATATTCTAATTGTTTTGGGCAATCACAGTGACCTTTCAATGCCAAGAAACAACTTGATTTGTTCTGTTGGCAAATCTCCTGTTCCCACTGTGTTTTTGATCAATGTCATATTCCAGCTTTGTAAGAAACAAAATAAACTATCTATCGCAGTGTCACCAGGATGAATTCTGTGAGCAATTTCTCATAAATGGGTACATTAATTTGCAGGAAAACTGTTTCCATGGCAGAACATACTTCTAATCTCACAGATTTACCACCAGCATTCTTCCTTCGGAATTACACTGCCAAGAATTTGCTACTTCAGTATTTTTGGCCCATTTTCAACTCACATATGGGGATTGAAACAGATGTTCTTTCAACTCAAAATAGAGAAACGCTGCCTTGGAGTTATGGCAACGTACGGACTTCAGACCTTGCCAAACTCAAAAACTAAACCCACTTCTAGGCCAATTCTTGCACAACCAAAACACTTTTGTTTGTTCCAGTAGAGCAAAACATTTATAGTAATGTTGCTTCTACTTAAGCATTCGTTTAGTTAATATATGATTTAGCTTCTATGTGAAGCATTTGAACTAAGCATGGTGCTTCCTCCTGTAAATGTGGTGGTAAACTTGTAGCTCCAAATATAATTTGTTAATTGGTGTATTCATAAATAGTTTGTTTGTGGAAATGTCCCTGAACACAGATGAATGCAACAGAGCAGGGAATCTCTCTAATCTATGTTCTGGGAAATTTCCCCCAAACATAGATTTAAGGAATTCCCTGTTCTGGTGCGCATGTCTATATTCGGGGAAATATCTCCCAGCATAGAAGAACGCAGCAGAGCAGGGAGTCCCTCTAATTCCCACAACAGTTTGCACTTACCACCCCGCGAAAGAGCTGGTCGTAAGTGCGAGCCGTCGTAAAGCAGGTAGGTCGCAAAACATTTTTCATTTTACATATTCACAATGCTCTTACAAACAGATTATTTATATGCACTTCAGCTTATTTAACACTAGCACAATTTTCCCACGTTGGAATTAGTGTAGGGCCCACCAATATTGGGGTACTGTGTAGTGGTGCTGGGCTTAACACAATATGGACATATGGTGGAACTGAATCCCCATGTTTGTTTGCTGAGATGGGTGATTTTAGGTAACATAGAATTTAGAAATGTATATTATATATGCACTGTTCCTTAATCTGTATTATGAAAAGTTCCAATCATAGACCAGGCAGAGGAACAGGCAGATCTTCTGGGACATTCCTGCTTGGTAACATTACAATATCGGTAGGTATGAGGGTATTGGATGGCACAGAAGGAGTTAGAGAGACAGAAAAGGAGAAGGAAGGGATCTGAAGAGATACAAGGTTCTGGAGAGACATACAAGGGGTAAAAAGGAGTCTGACGAGACACACAAGGAGGGAATATGAAAAGGAGCACAAAATGTGAATAGGGCCTAGAGACACTTAAGGAGTAGAGTAATGGGTCAGTGAAATACTATGGGTAAGGACAGGTGGATGGAGAGACGCTCGAGGGTAAGAAGGTCAGTAGAGACACATAAGTGGGTGAGAAGAGACACACAAATGGATGAAAGAAGCTGGAGAGACAGACACTGGTAAGGTGGAGATAAACACAATTTTTTTTTAAATTGCACGGGAGATGCCAACAGTCTTCCTTTAAACATTTGCCAATTAGTAAAAGTCTAGTTTCTAATAAAGTATATTCATTTGAAAGGGAACAGTTCTTAAAGAAGTAGAATGCCTGTTATTGGCTTTGCTGATTGTATTCCCATTTTCATTAGTATCCTGACTAACACAATTTCTAGATTATTATGGTATATCAAGATCAATGCTTCTTCTGCTAAAATATTTAGCTATGTTCTCTCTTCTCCCATAATGTGCTATTATGCTTTTATTATGCTTCTTCAACACATACAGGATCAGTGATTTATCAATCTAACAACGGCTTAAAAAGGTTAAGTATAGTCTATCTTTGATCTTCCAGCCAATATTTATATATTGTATCTATTAAAGGAAGGATATACAGCCATCCCTGTACAATTATCCCCTAAGTAGCCAATTATTTTTTGGAATGCCTGATAACAGTCATCCATCATTGCACAATTTAAAGCACATATTTGTAATTTTCACTAGCAAATAAGAAACACTTCTCTTTCCATGTTTTAATGGCTTTTAGTTAGAAAAAACCCTACACTGCAATTTCAGACAGCTTCTAGCTTTCTACAACCTTACTGGGTTATACAAATACTGGATTTAATTTCTAAATCTACACTTTGATAATATTTTCAGCACTAGATGATTGGTTTCTGTTGGTTAAATGTTTTATTCTTTTAAAGTTATACTATCGCCTCACATTGGGGCCATAATGAAATCCAAATTAGCTATAAATCCTTTATTTAGCAAAAGAACCGCTGGATGCATGTAAAATAAAATCTGAGCTCTAGACAGAGGAAGCTTTATAATACTGCGTAACACTGCAAATAAAGTATGTTAGAATTTAAAACTACAGTGCTTTAAAAATGATATTAAATAAACATGTATTATAATGTCTGTATCTTTAACAGGGAATTATGTTACCGTGTTTCTCCGAAAATAAGACCGGGTCTTATATTAATTTTAGTCACAAAAAACACACTAGGGCTTATTTTCAGGGTAGGGCTTATTTATTTACGTTACCAGTATGTACAGCTCTTTCTCTTTGCACTCATCTTGTCTGGGGATCAAAATACCATACTGTCTAATTAATCCACCCCCCTTTAATAAATCCACCCCCTCTAATTAATCCACTCCCTTTAATTAATCCACCCCCTCTTTAATAAATCCATCCCCGTTTAATAAATCCACCCCCCTTTAATTAATCCACCCCCCTCTAATTAATCCACCCCCCTTTAATTAATCCAGCCCACCCTTTAATTAATCCACCCCCTTTAATTAATCCACCCCCCTTTAATTAATCCACCCCCCTTTAATTAATCCAGCCCACCCTTTAATTAATTCACCACCCCTTTAATTAATTCACCCCCCTCTAATTAATCCAGCCCACCCTTTAATTAATTCACCACCCCTTTAATTAATTCACCCCCTCTAATTAATCCAGTCCACCCTTTAATTAATTCACCCCCCTTTAATTAATTCACCCCCCTTTAATTAATTCACCCCCTTTAATTAATTCACCCCCTCTAATTAATCCAGCCCACCCTTTAATTAATTAATTCACCACCCCTTTAATTAATTCACCCCCTCTAATTAATCCAGTCCACCCTTTAATTAATTCACCCCCCTTTAATTAATTCACCCCCCTCTAATTAATCCAGCCCACCCTTTAATTAATTCACCACCCCTTTAATTAATTCACCCCCCTCTAATTAATCCAGCCCACCCTTTAATTAATTCACCACCCCTTTAATTAATTCATCCCCCTCTAATTAATCCAGCCCACCCTTTAATTAATTCACCCCCCTTTAATTAATTCACCCCCCACCCCCTTTAATTAATTCAGTCCCAGACATAAAATATCTACCGGTACTCACATTTCAAAGATTCCTTGCCGAGTCCGACCACTGGGTGCCTCACCGCCCGGAAATGGATCCTTCCGCTGAAGATCCGTGAAGGCAGACTGACGGCACTGTGAAATGTCGTCATCACGTTGCGCAATGCCACGGCCCGCAACGCTCCTCCTACAGTAGAAGAAGGAAGTCTCGCCGCAAAGGTGCAATGCCTAGGTCTTATTTTCGGGGTAGGGCTTATATTGCAGCCCACCCCGAAAATCCGACTAGGGCTTATTTTCGGGGTAGGGTTTATTTTCGGGGAAACAGGGTAACATCCTCTTGCTGCCAGTGCAGAGTAAAATGGTTGTGAATCTTTGTAACCATGTATACTGGCCCGGATAGGAGAAAAATTGGCAAGCCGGAGGCCAGTTAATAGAGACCCTTCTCTGTGGTTGTAGTTGTAATTTTATTGATTTACCTTGTCCCTCTGATGCCTTACGGTCCCTGCTGTTCCCCTTCAGTCACCCAGTCACTCAGTGGTGCCAAGTGACCACTTTTGGTCATACTGTGTTCCTATTTCTACATGGTTTGGACTATCCTGCACCACATGGAATTCAAATTGTCCTTCTTGTGGCGTTCACTGCCCCTACTCTGGTCCTGCTTCCCTTTCTTGTTGCCTCCCATTCACTCAGTGGTCAAAACTGCATCTCTTGTACCTTCATTGTCGTATTCCATTCGTGGCCTCTATGCTCCAATTCTAATTGTCAGTCACATAGCCTCCATCCTCACCCTAATCCAATTTTTCCCCATTTGTGGCTTTCTCCCAGTGATAACAATTTGTTAGTGTCCTCCCCTGACCTCACCCTTGTAGTTCCAGTTATACTTTTTTTTTTTTACATTTTTCTGTCCACTTTGGGATTATAATATTTCCTGTTATGGTCTTAATAAAGTGCTCCAGCATGACATTTGTTAGTCTTTTTCTTCATCCCTATGTCATGGACATTACAGCTTTATATTGTTAACGATTAAATAATAAAACACTTTTTTCTTTTTCTTTACTCATCCTAGATAGAGATGTCGCGAACTGCTCGCCGTACTG